TAGGGCTTTAGAGATGAATCTGTTTAAGGGATTACACTTAGGCGGTGAAGGTCCACCAATTTCTCTTTTACAGTTCGCGGATGATACTCTGATTATTGGAGAAGCTACTATGCAGAATCTGTGGTGCTTAAAGGCCATCTTGCGTTGTTTCGAGTTAATTTCAGGCATGAAAATTAATTTCCACAAGAGTTGCGTGGTCGGTATTCATTATGGGGCAGATTTCACTAACTTGGCGGCTACTTTTTTACATTGCAAGGTGGGTCAACTACCGTTTAAGCATTTGGGTTTACCTCTTGGTGTAACAGCCCAATTTTCATTGGGCCTTGGACCCAATTCGTTGCCCGGAATGGGCCGTTTCAAAAGTGAAACGGGCCGTTCCAGAATAAAGAATTTGCCTAAAAACGTAATTGAAAACGGGCCATTCCGGTTGGAGAATGGGCCGTTCCGGTTGGAGAACAGCCGTTCTGGTTTGGAGAACGGGCCGTTCTGAAACTGGAACGGGCCGTTCTGCTGGGATTGAGAACGGGCCGTTCCGATTTTGGAACGGGCCGTTCCAGTTGAGATTTTTGCTTGGTTCTGGAGAGTCCAAAACGGCCGTTCCACTTTTGGAACGGGCCGTTCCGGGTTAGCTGAGGCAGTTTCCTATAAATAGGAGGCCTTACCTCTCATTTTCTCACATCTCTCATTCTCTCTTCCTATTCTCTTCTGTTCTTTCTTCTTCCCCTCTTCTTCTCTCTGAAGACCATGGGGCACTTAGAGGAGGAGACCAAGAGATCCCTGTTGTAGTTTCAACTGCTGTTTATCCAGGTACGGGGGAAAAGGGGATTATTTATATGTGGAGTTACATGAGGGAATTGGGTAGAGGAAGAACCCTTAGAGTTATGAGTAATTTTATAATTATTTCTGTTTGGAGAATTAATTATCTTATGTGATTCTGTATATATTTAGGACTACGAATATATGATTTGTTTGTAAAAATGACGCTCTGGAAGAGAGAACGAAATTATAGAAAAGTGCCTGTAAGTTAGGTTTTGGGAAAAATTAGATTATTTCTGTTTGAGGAATTAATGACCCCATTAGATTCTGTATGTGTTGAGGATTAGAAATACATATTTAATTTGTAAGAATGATGATCTGAGAGGGAGAACGAAACTGTAGAAAAGTGCCTGTGAGCTAGGTTTTG